GATGTCTTGCCCTTTGTTCAGGCCATTTTTGGGTCTTGTGGGAGTTAAAAAAAAAAGATTTAGCCGAAACCGGTTTGGCTCAGTGGATAGAGTGTCGGCCTGCGGACTGAAAGGTCCCAGGTTCGATTCCGGTCAAGGGCATGTACCTGGGTTGCGGGCACATCCCCAGTAGGAGATGTGCAGGAGGCAGCTGATCGATGTTTCTCTCTCATCGATGTTTCTAACTCTCTCTCTCTCTCTCCCTTCCTCCCTGTAAAAAAAATCAATAAAATATATTTAAAAAAAAAAGATTTAGTCATGTAGTTTTGTGTATTACTTGGCAAGCTTATTTTTAAGTCTATAATTTATTGGCTTTATTTGTAAGTATTCAACTTTAACAAAGAAAAACACCATATTTTTCATATAATTGAAGAAGTCAGTTTAGATTCTTATTTCAGCTTAAAGCATTTAGCATATACTAAATGTTTCTTTTCAGTTATAAATAGGTAGTCAATTACTGTAGATACAAGATTTAAAGAATTCCTTTTTTCTAATTAATATTTTTGTCAAGGGAGAGGGTGTTGGGCTGCAAATAGGTATGCCAGTGGTTAAACCACACTTGAAAAACAGGGACATTGTCATCATAGAAGCTTCCATATATAGCTAGTACCTGTTCGCAGGGAAATTAAATAGTAGAAAACATCATATTCAAGAAAGGATATTTATGGCCCTGGCCGGTGTGGCTCATTTGGTTGATTGAGCACCAACTTGTGCACTAAAAGGTCACTGGTTCGATTGCTGGTCAGGGCACTTGCCCAGGTTGTGGGCTCCATTTCTGGTAGGGGTGCACGTGGGAGGCAGCTGATCGATGTCATTGATGTTTCTCTTTCTCCCTTCCCCTCTCTCTAAAATCAATAAAAACAGTTTTTAGAAAAAGAACAGATATTTACTTCGATGCTCTTGAGTGGGTACATTTGCTCAGTGGCCAGATTCCAGTTTGCACTGGCATGGGTTGCAGGACTAGAATTAACATCCTGAGGAGGTGGCAACATCAGCACCATGTCAGAATATATTACAGGCTTACGTTCTTTGTGTACATCTCTTGATGGATTCTAAGATATTGTTGTGGCATTTGTCTTGCTAGGGAATAAATCTTCTTGTGACTTTAGAGTTTTGAAATCAATTTATGACTGCTCACCATCTAACAAACTCTTGAATATCTGGATTGCTATGTAGTTTGCAAAGGAAGGTAAAGGGTTCTTTGAGATTTTAAATCTTTTATTGAGTTTGAATAAAGCACCTAGAGAATTTTCTGTAGAGAAAGATATTATAATGTGCAAATTTTTGAATTATTAATTCACTGTGTTGTAACACTGAACATTTAAGAAAAATCTATTTACATATTAAATTAAAATTGTGGCTGCTGAAAAGTATAATAACATTAAATTACTAAACTACAATGAGTGGATTCACAGGTTTGGGTAAAACCTGGCTGTGCTATGTTTTAGCTGAATAACCTTGGAAAAACTGTTCAACGCTTCTAAGTTCCCATTTCTTCCTCTTTAAAAAGGGGGATAATGTATGTACATATATAGGGGGCAAAAGTAGGTCTACAGTTGTATGTGAAAGAGCTTATTCTTATTATTTATTAATTATTGTATTATTTTCCATACGAACAATTGTAAACCTATGTTTGCTCCACCCTGTATAATAGTGTTGTGATGACCAAATAAAGTAATTTATTTAGCACAGCTCTCAACACATTGTTAGCTACTACAGTTGCTTTCCCCTGGTCACCACTGTCTGTTGCTACTAGTTCAATACTCTTGTCAGTGTTTGAGAACTTCAGGAGGCTCCATCTTTGAGAGTTAAAGAGTTACATTAGTATAGTCTCCCTGCTGCAACATATGCTTTAAGACCTTGAATTAGCTCATGTGCAATAGGTAAGTAGGAAAATGTCATTATGGTGTGGAAGTTGGGTTAGTTCATCTAAGACTTTCTCCTGCGATCAGGAAAGCATGTATTCTCATAGAGAGCTTAAGAGAAAAAAAAAGATGGACATTCTATAGAAATGTCTTCCTCTAGTGTAAGTAGTGGCTGATTTAGTGGCCTCAAAATCTGTGGCACTTTCTACTGTGTTAAAACTATATGGTTGTTTAAACACTATATTACACAACTGAAATCAAAGCAAAATACTAAAAGTAAATTGTAATTGAAAAAAAACAACACCCAACTATGGGGAAGCTTGGAATTATAGATGAAGGGGCTTATGAAGATATTTCCCTGTGTTCAAAAACATCTGTAACCTGAATTCCATTTTTTATTTTGTTGAAACTGTACACATGACTTATATCTCAGTGGAGGAAGCATTAGTCCAGGGTTTAAGGGGACAAAGGATTGATTGACCTTTGTGCTTGGTGCCAAAATAGGATGCTAATATACAATTCATACAGTTAGTTGGTAAGTACATTTCATGGGAATTCAGGTATTAGGGAGATCTTCATGAACTGGATGATTTGATGATGTGGGACTTGAGCAGATTATCATAAATGGAGGAGGAAAGTAAGATTATTGCGATGATTGGAATTAACAGGAGTAGAGCATGGAATTAACCTTGGTCTAGTCCAGTGGTTCTCAACCTTCTGGCCCTGTAAATACAGTTCCTCATGTTGTGACCCAACCATAAAATTATTTTCGTTGCTACTTCATCACTTTAATGTTGCTACTGTTATGAATCGTCATGTAAATATCTGATATGCAGGATGGTCTTAGGCGACCCCTGTGAAAGGATCGTTCGACCGCCAAAGAGTCGCGACGCACAGGTTGAGAACAGCTGCTCTAGTCTCTGGCTCATACTACAGTTACCAAGACCATTCCAAAGTGTACTCCTTATACTTAGCTGAGAATTTAGTTATATAGATTCCAAATAAGGTTACTCAAGAGCTTCTTAAAAGTTTTTTTTTAATTGTAAAGAAGTGATCAAACTGTTATATAAATGTTATATGTTGAATCCAAAATGGGGAATCCCTATTTAAAAGTTTAGAGTGACTGTTTGATATTTCTATCTTCATTTTGTTGTTGCTACTTTTGTTCTCATTTCATGGTATTAATCTGTATCTTAGGTGTTAGTTATAAGTGCACCTAGGAGTGTTTTCTTATTGTTTGCAGCAAATTTATTTTAGAATTCTTACATGGGATTCTCTTTCTGCTGTGGGCTGCAGAAAGAATAGGTGGGATTGAAATACCAATTTTACTAGAATGAAAATTAGATATCAATTTTACCCTTTAGTTCTGGAGTATATAACAGAGAGGGGTGCAATACTGAGTAGCATTGTCATTTTATCTGGTATTATTTAAAAATTAAGATACCAAATTTTTATTTTCATCATTACTATCTTTTTTTACCATTATTATTTAACTTGCTTAAAATATATTACTGGAAGATACAGGGAAGTGTACATGTGACATTCTACTTTCTCAAGTTTTACACAGTTTGCAAATTTTTTGTTTTTAACTATGAACCTAATGTTGAATGTCTTGGCTCAGCGTGCTGAGGATTGTAAACAGTGAAAAATGAAATCCTTTCCAACACTTTAGATCTGTTTGGCCCAGTACTCTTTCTACTCTGCATGCGTTTCTGTGTGTTAAGGGTGGCGATTGGCTCTCTGGTAATCTGCCTTTGAACAAGGGGCAGGATGGGCAAGTCCCCAACCTGACAGCAGTAGTTGGCTTAGGGGACTACAGGTAGAATGGCTGATTCTGTCCTCCCTCTTTCTCTGTTTGAGCCATTGATGCTTGCTTGCTCCTATACCAGGACTGAACACATTAGAAGCCCATAGCCTGAGCTTGTCAGGGATGTTTAGCTTCATAGTATGTCAGTCAGTGCAAGGCACTGCCTGATTTTGTAGTTGGAGTGATTCAAAAGCAAAACAAAGCCAAAACCAGTTCCTAGCCTGATAGGAAATCCATAGCTGTAAATCAAAATTTCACTCAACTCCCAAATCTGTTTCCCATTACTATCCTTTGTCCTCACATTGAGTCCTGCCTGACGGTTATGTCTCTTTGTGAGCTATTCCTGAAACAAAGTTTCCTGCATTATCTCAGTCTTCTTTCTGATAATGCCAGCACCATCCCTGTAGTTTTCAAGGCTTGAAATCTACCCGCTGCCTCCAGTCTGTCCCTGACATTCCTAAATCTCCCTTTGCTGTCTGTTGTCATTGTCAATGTCATGACGTTTCTGTCTTCATCGGGTATGTCCATAGAGCAAATTACATATCATTGTTAAGTGTGAGATGAGAAGTTTGATTCTGGTCTTGTCACCCCCTTTACTAAAAAGGCAAGGGCTTCTCATTACCTCCCTTTTCAGAAAATCTATGTGGCATCTTCAGTAACATGTTCATAGTCCACTTCCTTAGCTATCTCCCCTGATTCCCCTTAATGTACTCCTGACGAAACAAACTACTTTTCTAATCACATTTGGGAGCCCCTGACTTTGCTCATGTTCCTTTCTGAGTCTTAGGCCCTGTTCTTCTGCCAGTGGACTCCTTTACCTTTCAGTTCTTAGCAGAAATGCCACCTCCTGCATGACCTCACCCCCTA